TTTTTTTCCCCCCCCTTCCCCCCCCCCCCCCCCCCCCACCAGCAATCTGTCCTTTTTTTTCGGCCGATCCTTTTGGTATATGGTTTACCCTCTTTTCTTGCTTATTGTCAAAATTGACTTCACTTTCGGGAGGAGTCGAGCTGGGATCCTTTCGCCCTCTGGAGTTACAGCGCTTAATTGTCCCGGAAACCGAGGGGGAAAAAAAAGGTTTTTTTGCGAAGCTTCATCTCTCGAATTTCATCTCTTTAGCAAATGTGCAATACGTGGGGTGTCCCAACATCGGATGGCCTTGATCAATCTTACTCCCGATGCCAGCACAGTACAATATTCATCTCTCTGTAGTGTTCAAGTGTTACCGTATCTCTTGATGGATCTTGAACTTGTGTTCCTTTTTTCTAAGGAGTTATTGCTCTAATTAAATATCCCCGGCACTCATTAGTACTGTACCTCAGGGAAATTGTGTAGAATCGGATTTGTCTTGGACGATACCAAGATACAGTAATGCAGAATGTTTTTTTTCTTGCGAGGAATGAAAGAAAGGATTTTAAAAGAGAAGCAGAAAATTGTAAGAAGGGAAAATTGGTGGAATATGGCCTATGGAAAATGGGATCTTCAGGGCAACGAATATTTTCTGCTTGAATAAGATACTGTACACGAGGAAAGCGACATTATTAAAGTATTATTATTTTACAGCAGCAGTGAATGGATCACCCTGAAGTTTGTCCTAGAAAAAGATGAGAAAGGCTCTCGCTGACCTTAATACTGTACCAAAATTTACTTTCCACATTCTCTGGCTTCATGCGACGGAAATTTCTGCATTAAATGAGAGGAATTCCTTAAAGTAATCAAGTTTCTAAAAATTTTCAAGTGCTGCGTTCTTGCTTTCCTTTGATGTTGGCTTTCGTTTATAAAGTCACACTTCTGTTGATGCAGTGAAATGCACACGGATCTTGTTTCTGGAGTTTCTAGAAAAATACTGAATTTATTTATTTTTTAATTTGAAGAAGTTCTGAGACTGGTTTTGAATGGTGGTTCTTAAGTAATTGAACTGTGAGATTGCGTTTTCTACACAATTGTACGATGTATATTTGTTTGACGTTCCAAGGTGCTGTTCCAGGGTCCAGGAATCTAATTTTGTTGTGATGATTTTTATTTTACAGATTTGCGTTCTTATTTTCCTTTGATCCCGGTGAAATGCGGTTAGCTTTCGTTTTTTGGGTTACCCCTCGGTGCATGTAATAGAATCAGCATTTGTTATCGTTATTTTTTGTGGAATTTGCCAAACTTGTCGTCTAAAAACAAAAAGGACGGATAAAGAGGAAGAGGAAGTTTTGTTTGAGAGAGAGAGGCATGAACGTTCACACGATGGAGACGCCGTCGTCGTCTTCCCCGTCGTCATCCTCGACGTCGTCGTCGACAGCGTCCTCGTCACCGGACAAGTACAACGTCCGCTGGACCACGCATCACTCTGAGACCTGGTCTGCTTTCTCGTCACTCCTGGCTTCCGGCCAGTTCGTGGACGTGACGCTGTCGTGTCGGAACCGGACGTTCCGAGCCCACCGCGTCGTGTTGTCGGCCTGCAGTCCGTACCTGAGGGACCTGTTGGACTCGGACGCCGTCGTTTCCGGCGGCGGTCATCCCATCGTCATTTTGCAGGACGCCACCCCGGAGGCGGTCGAGCACGTCATTGAGTTTATGTACACGGGCAACGTGGACATTCCGAGCCAGTGCCTGTCGGACTTCATCAAGCTGGCTGAGTGTTTTCAGGTGAGAATCAATGAAAGAAGAATTACAGGAACTTGTAATCGGGGGTATTCAAAATACTGTACTGTACTTCTTGAATGAGTTGACAGGCATGCTGGACATGAAACCAAGGGTTCATTTGTTTATTTTATCTTTCACTTCCTTTCGAAATGCATCACGGTAAATTTGTGTTACTTCTCTCTTTCCAGTGTCAAATAAAATAATATGTGAAAGGCCCCAGAAACAGAAACTTCCGAGCTATGGAAGTTGCAAGGGGGAAAGCCTTTGCTTTAGGGAGGTTTTTAATGTATTGTTTTTAAGGGGGATTCAGACGGAGACTTGAAAAAAAAAAAAAACGTCGAGTTTCCATTTATCGAGGATCAGCTGTATAAAGCGATAGCTATTTCTGGTTTTCTAATACAGTAAGTTCGTTTGATAAGAATTCGGTGGTATTTTGATCAGTTTTCCCCGATCTTTTTGTGCCCGCGGACCAGCAAATGCCCAAAAAATTGTCTGCGGACTGGCAAAATTTCATTTATTGTTTACAGACTGGAAAAAATCTTGCTTGATGGAATTAATGGCAGGTATATACAAGTTTCTGCTTCTTTCAAAAATTAAGCTAAGCACCTATGAAGCAGGAATGTCATCAAAAACTTAAAAAGTGGAAAATTAAAATAATTCGTTTCAGCTTGTAAAAAGGTGTCTGAAGTACTGTTATTAGGATAAATGCCAACTTTCAAGTTTCATCAAATACATTCTATTGCGTGTCTTTCCAAAATTTTAGATAATGATTACAGAGTTCATTGCTACTATTAATAAGTGTATTATGCTGAAAATTTCCTGCGGACCGGCGCCGGTCCGCGGACCACGGGTTGGGAACACTGATTTAGATTACGATGCTTCCTCGGTTAACGGACTATCCTGTTCCTCAGGGAAGTCCATTACCCGAAAAGACTGCCAATAAAGTCACGTAAATCTATCGAGGATGACTGATATGTTCCAGTCCCCACAAGGAACCCCTCGACAAAATATAGTATTGCCCAGTTCCCCTGGGGATTTCTTTGATTAATTCACAGATACTGTGTAACTTATCAGATTATTTTGGATTTTTATAGGCCTTGATGTTGGTACGGTGTTGGGTTATCCGGAGTCAATGTACCACTTGTGCATGGGTTAACGCCTTTTTTTGGGATCTTTGGTGTGAGCTGGGATACCGATAAGATGGTACTGTGTAATTGTTTCCTTGCCAGCCTGTTCTGTCAATCGGAAGAGGTAGTTTTTTGTCTTTTCTGCTGTTGGAATGCAATCAGATGTAGGTCAATTCATATTAGTACAGTACTTTGGTTGCAAAAAAAAATAACCCGTGTATTAAAATGTATGCTGAAGGAAAGTTGCTCATCCTCCAGCAAAGATTCCATCATCAAATCCATATATCGTAAAAAGGTTCACGTTTTTTAAATGCATTTATTATATACAGTATCCAAAGTGTACTTTTATAGTGCAGTACAGTAATATACTGATAGTCTTGAGGTGCTGATTTATATTCTTGTGGTTGGGGATTTCATCAGGATAAATCTTCATGGTGGCTTTTTGAATGTTGTTCTAACGTTTGTGGGTTATTTTAACGGAAAATATTCCAGCAATAGAGCAATTCTCGAAGAAATCGCGGATATTGTTTTTCCAGGAGGTTTACGTATTTTTGGCCCTACTTTCAAAAAGCACATTTGGATGTTGAATGATTTTCTTACAAGCATTGAAGTGTAATGAATTTTGATGAAGTTTCAGTGTTTTTATAATCGATTTTCCCAACCTTGGATATCTTTCAAACAGCTCTTGAATTATTTATTAAAATATTGCGTCAACAGCACCGCTGTTTCTGAAGAAGATGGTAATTTTTCAGCGATTTTAATTACCGGTGTTCTAATTCAGAACATGGCGAATGAAGTGGATATTGAACACTTTCTAACGGCAGAGGAATATAAATAGAATGCATTTCCAGCTCGAAGGGGTTCGTCTAGAATCTGTGAAGTGTAAAACCATATGTTCCTGAACTGGCAGCGTTTGAGAGTGCAGCAGTCAACATCGTACCAGCTGCTATATCCCTTTCTCCTGCTTCAGCAAATAACGATGTAATCACTCCAGCACAGGAATATTATTTTTTCTCTTTCGGTTTGTCGATAGTCAATCTCGATGAAGGTGGATGTTAATTGAGTTGGGATTCGCGTCATTTTTTTTTTCCCGCGGAAACGATGATCAAGCTTCGCGATGCTTCATAAATGTATCAATACTGTATTACGAGGGTTCTAACAAAAGTTCTCGGAGTAGCAATGAAAATGGCTTACAATTGAGCTGAAAAAAATGTATTCTTTAGGGAAAACATATTCTTTGGCACACGAAAAAATATCAGCCCTGTTTGACAAATTTTTTTGAATTTTTTTCATAATTCACCCTGGCAGAGTTTTGCTCGCCACTCAAAAGATGAGGCGCCCGTTTTTCTTGTAGCCCTGCTTTCCCCTCATAATTTTTGAAATCAACTTGGCATTCTTCCTAAGGGTTGCCTCCAGGTCATCCAAGGCAATTCTGCCATTTTCATCAACAGCCTCCTTCACAGCCGCCAAAGTGGCGGCCGCCACCGTTCGTAAAACGTCCCATTTTACGAAAATATTGATTATTAGGAAAATACTGTAGTTATTAGTCACAAACTAGAGCTCATTCCAAATAATTTCGTGTGATCTATGATTTATATTGCTAGCCCATGTGTTCTTGTTATCAAATCAGTGGAAGACTACTCGGGGTGAAAGAGGAGGTTTTTCACTGTACTATACCGTATTTGCGTTCTGGTATTTTTGTTTAAATTTTATATTGCAGCTCAAGTACATTACTGTATATGCCTTATTTTGAACTACCGTAGCAAAGTACTGTAATACACTGAATTTCATGGTGGATAAATGATGCCATTTTTTCGCAAACTTACAGTGACACGAAATCTCTTCTCCGCAGAAATTACCTACGGTACTAATATCATTTAATAAATGATCATGCATTAAAAAAAATTGAAAATACGCAGTTCACTGTTTTTATATCCCTTCGTTTACGGAATGCATAAAAAATATAACTGGGCAAATTTTCCCCGTGATACGCAATGATTCACGCGCTGAAAAAACCGCGAAAACCTGAATTTCAAGAGGAATATTAAATGAAAGCTATGTAAGATAATTTCCCTGTAATGTAAAACACGTAGGATTCTGATATCTCTCCTATTCAGCGAATAAGAGAGAAAAGGGTTAAGTTTTGTCGAAATTGGGGCTTGTGAGAAGCGCATGGGAAATCGGAAGACATCAATTCCTTCTTCTGGACGCTGATTATTTTCTGCTAAAACGAGATAGATTTCGGGGAAAATTTTGGTGGCATCCTCTGGGGGGAAAAGAGTTCTTGTCTCTTTATTTTCTGTTACATTAGCAGAGAATAAAAGTGAACTTGAATTTAACACTAGTTCCCATAATTTTCATTTACGTTCCCCGAATGAATCGTTGGCGCTGATTTTCGATTTCCTCCCTTTTTTATGCAGTCACTCTTCTTCGACCTGAATTTCATAGTTAAGTCATAGCTTTATAATTTTTGGAAAAGGGCGTTTTTCTTTTTTCCACTATTGGGCTAACCACCCTGTGATTTTGGCACATTACTCCTTACTGCTGAAAAATGTACGAGGATGAATAATGACTGAATAACGGTAGTACTGTATTTCTATTAATACCGCCTGCGCCTTTTGTCCGAGGGTTGCTTCATAAGTTTTGACACTTCTTGAAATGGATCCAACGGAGTTTCAATCATTCCAATAGTTTTTTTTTACCCCTCAAGTCCCATCATTTGGTCAATTTCAGTGCTGTTCAACGCAGTCTCCGCCAATTACAATGCATTTTTCGCGCAATAAATCCAACGATCGAAACCGTGCAGGAAATCGATTTATTTTTGTTGATCAGGCACCCTGTAATTTTTGGCTGTTCTCGACAGTGAAGAACGATCTGAAAAAGGAATTGGTTTTGAGGACAGGGACAGCCTCACTTCTGTCGTCGAAGAGCATCTTAATCAACTTATGAACCAACCCCTCTGTACGGTAACTTCGGTTAAATTAATATCACATTCCCACAGTTGGCGAATATAGCATCAACACGGCATCGGCCAGTATTCAACCGAGTACCGTCATTCCCAGCGCATCACTCCCAACTCGGCTGGATGGAATTCTGCCAGTCCGCATTCTCTTGCCATGATGGGGGTTAACCTCGTCGTAGCTCTCTTTCTCTTAATGGGGTTTCATCGTTCTGAAATCGTAAACCGGTCCGAATCTGATCCTTATCCGGCAACGTTAACGAGGCAAACTGATTAAGGTTCACAGACCGCGGCGATTTGAAAGCGTTGGCTCAGAATTTTCGCCTGCTTCAACACGAATGAGAGAGAGAGAGCGAGTGAGTGAGTGAGGAAAGTGAGGCTTGGCCGGATTGCTTTCGTTGCCAGAGCAGATTTTGAGGGAAAAGTTGGATCGTGTCGCTCGGTCCGCGCAGAACAAAGACGAACTGGGAAAAGAAAATGATGATAACGAAGGGAGCGAGAAAAGGAGACGGGGAAGGGAGGCAACGTTCGACGAAAAGAGGAGCGAGAGGACGGGGGAGAAGAAAAACGGTTCAGGTGGCACGGTCGACTGCGCAAGTGGGTCATTGGCGTTCCGCAGCTGTTCTGGTGCTGCAGGGAAGAAGGAGGACGAAGCCTTTCACCTCTTCCCGGTCTTAGGATTATTTTATGTGTCACGGAATTGCTTGGAGCTTCCTGTGGGCCTAAGGCTTTAGTTTACGCCGTCCTCTTTTTATTTATTTTTTCTTCGTGCGTTACCATAGTCATCTTTTTTGTGTGTTAATATTACTCTGTGCTGTACATATTTTTGTCGCACGACCGCGATGCACCAGAGCGTTAACGGTGGGGCCTCATATCAAGTGGAATTTAATGCCGGTATCCTCGAAGTGGCTCATGCCTAGGTTTAAAAAAGCCGACTTCAAAGCGAGGGTATTGAAGAAAGAGCTGCCGGGAATGAGAAGGAAGTTATTTCCGAGGAACACTAAGAAGTCGTGGAATCAGGCAAATTTTTTGCAGGAACCTCATCTGTTTGCACCAGTGCAGCTGTGTAGACAGACGGTATTAGAAGGAAGAAAGAAAAAACATAAACTTTGAATAAAGAACGGCCAGGATGTTGGGGGTTTAATTTCACTTTGCCTGATGTAGTTCATTTTCTTTTTAGCCTTGATTTTAGCATATTTTGTGTGCAAGGTTTTGTAAATCCAAACCTCCGCAGAAACGAAACAGTCGAAGGCCAGAAAATCTCTCTGAAACAAACAAAAAATCCAAATTTAATATCAGTCTTCATGTAAACATTAATCACATTTCATTCAGTCTGAAAGAAGACCGGCATTTTGCAAATTTTGTACAGCATCAGGAAAACGGGCAGAGAGCGAATTGAAAATTCAGGGTAGTGTTTTTATCTTACTTCACATCTAGGTATAATTAACCGAAGTTTTTAGCTCAGATGAACTTGAGATGCAACATCAAATATTGGAAAAAGTGCTCGTCTATAAGCGATTTTCGACCGAGCTCATCCTTTTTGAACAAATTAAATATTTCAGGATAGGCCGCGGCTATTAAAAATTGTGGCCTTTATGAACAATTGGGTTAAGCCGCAGTGTGAAAAAGAACTGTCTAAATGGATCAACTGACGGGAAATGAGGTGAACAAAAATCCTGGGAAGCAAGCGAGATATTTTTTTCTGATTTGTGTTAATCTTGAATGAAGTCCTCCGTACGAAATTATGTGGATTTTCACAAAACATGTTCAACACCTTGTATTAGCCAACATTTTCTTCGCAGTTATAATTGGTTACGACGTATCGCGTATAAGCAGTACTGTACTAATTATCATTCGAAACCAGTGGAAACAGACCTAAAACTTGAAAAGTTTGCAAGATTCCCTGATGGTATCTTAATTTTACTACGCATTGACGATGATTTACTCATGGATTTTTTCTCTGCCAAAAAAAAAAAAGGTTCGAGGAATAAAAGGAGAATCAGAAGCACGTCCGTCGTCGTCGTCGTCGCCGACCAAACACTTGAAGCCGGATCATGGCTTGCCCTCCCCGCCGTCGTCGACCCACGACGAAGACGGCGACCAGATGTCGCCCAAAAGGAAACTGTCCACGGCGTCCAGCGACTTCACGCCCCACCAACGCAAGCAATTCGAGGCTCAGATGGTGCACCGGTATTTCCGCAGTCTCTATGGCGCCGAGCAGGCTAAACCAGAGGCCGAGCCCATGGTTACGATTGAAAAGGTAATCTTATACTGTATCTAAATTTAATGGTACAGAACAAACATCTTAGGTCGTCTTGATGTGAACTGGAGTGAACGGATTCTAGCTTAAGGTAATACAGATTTTTTTTAAATTCTGGACTCGCAGACCTCGCCCTGAAATAATTTATATCTTGGAGAAATTATGACAGATTTGTGAGCTGACAATTTTTGCTTTCAGTTTTCTGTATTTTTATTCTTAGCTTGTGTATTCTTAGCAATGGGATTTGGGTTACATCATAATACGGCAAAAAGAGAAATAAGTATCATGTGTTGTTAAGTTGACCAAACTTGATTTAGAATTTGCGGCTCGCTCTTCCTTCGCCCGTTTTGTTTTCATCATTGCAGTCATTGTTCTCTCTGTTTAGATAGGTGTCCACTGCTCTTTTGATATTCACTCTCTTTGTCCCTGTGAACTTGCTTTATTATAATATTTTTCGTTTGAGCTTTTCACCCATTAAGTTATTACGTTTGAAAAGGATAATTTGATTAGATTGAATAATTGTCTGAAAAGGCTATGTTGATGCTTTTCAAGATTTTAGCTGGTATGGAACTGTGAAAACTTACGACTACTGTACTGCTGTATATCCGTTTGGTTCTCATTTTCTTCCTCCGTGTGAGAAAAATTTCTAGAAGTGTCAAAACTCAGAACTCTCATACTGTCAACTAATGGAATTTGTTGGGTATAGTAATTCAGCGAATGAACAAAATCGGATTGAAAGCGATCTTCTCGGTATTGCGATCCAAATTTTCAACGCATTAATTTTTTTTATGGTTTGTTTGTAGGTGTACCTGCAAAACGAAGGCGAAGAGCACGCAGAAGACGAGCCTTGTGACTTCAGCATGGGAAAGACGCGCAAAGCGGACGGCGAATTCTCTCCGCGCGCAGAAGACTACGTCATCATCGAAAACGGACACGGGGGCAAGCGGCGACACCTGGCGGAGGCTGATGGGGACGAGGCTGAAGACGACCATCGTGGTTGGGATCCCGTGCAGCCATTGCATGGCCAGCGACAAATCCTGCCCGTGGAAGTGACGATGGGCGAAGATGATGATATGGGCGACGAAGAAGCCGGCGCCACTGCCGCCGGGGCGACCCGTGACGAGCGGGGTATTCAGGATGACGAAGGCGGCAATAGTAAACCCGTCGCTGGACGCGTCAAGAACGACAGGAACCCACCCGCGCTTTTGCCTTACCAGTCTGAACCGGAAAAACCGTTCAACATTCCCGCGGATGTGTCTCCAGAGGTACGGTTTTTTCCTCTTACTTTTTGAAATACTTTTGTCTTTGTGTGTGTATGTAATTCTACCATATTCTCCGTGTTGCAATTTTTAAAATCCCAATTAGTATCATTGTAGAGAAAGTTTTCTCGAATTTACGGTTATAAAATGGCACCTGTAGTATAAATTCTCCTGGAATTCTTGTATTTGATCTCCTCAAATTCAAGTCAATAAATTAATGGGATATTCTAAGGATCTTAACACGAAATTTTGTTCCCTTGATTATCGTCGTGGAGAGTTCATATGTAGTCAGTGTGGGTTTAGGCTGATTCCCAAGTTGAAATACTCGAAAAATGTGAAGGTTGTTTATAAAAAATTAATGCATTTACTCAAGTACCAAGTCCCCTGGAGTATGAACTTCGATTTTTTCCTAGAGAAAATTCGGCAAAAATTATATCCCCACGTAAGACGCGCACCCATTTTTCTGGACCGAAATTTTGGAACGATTTAAAGAAGCATGGGATGGAAATTAGTTCAAAAATTCCTTCTCGTGTCTTGAGTATTACCCGTGCGAAAATTTTTCGAATTTCGTCGAAGGTTTTTTTTTTATCAGGTACTGTATAACGCGCAACCAATTGTACTTTTATTTCTGAATTTTTGGGAAATACGTTTTATTACTTTCAGATTAGAGTTGGAGTAATGACTCACGTATGAGAACACACATTTAAAAATAATTTCTGTGCGCTGCATACTGAAAATCCATTTTTAGATTTTTGACTTACAATAAGTACTGTACAACGACAAAGCTGTCAAAGCATTTTTTCCTGGTCCCGGGCAACATTCTATTGAAACATCTTGTACAACGATTTTCTGTGTGTAATCAAGTATTGTTTCAGTCCCGGGAGCATAGTCTGCTCTAACTCTTAGAGTGAATTCGTACCTCGTATTTATTTTCAAAAGCTGAGTGACTTCCTGCGTGAAGTAAAAATCCTGTGCTTGTTGCATGGTTGTACAATTTTGTGCAATTTTGCAGAGTCCGTTGTTCCGTGTATCAAACTCTGACACGATCTGGGTCGGCAAGACCTACAACAATTGGACCATGTACTTCTGCTCGCTGTGCCCGTATCAAAGCAGGATCAAGAGCCACTTATGGCGCCACTCGGTGAAACACACTGGACAGAAACCATTTGTCTGCGCTCTCTGTCTGAAAGCCTTCTCTCGAAGAGACAATTTGAAGCAGCACATGAATTACAAGCACCCTGGCTACGACCTCGAGCCGAAACGAGACGCCAGACAAGGTCTGAAGCTCATCAAGGGGGTCTAGTGCTGTTTTTCAAAAGACCCGCGCGACGTCGAAAACTGCCAACGAGTTACCTAGGAATGTCACGGATTTTGTGCTATTTTTATCATCTGGGGTTTTTTTTTTTTATGTGTGTGTGTTGTGGTCGCTTTTTATTTCGCGCTAAGGCAGGCTTGAACACCTTTGGGTCTTCGAGTCTTCCACCCACAACCGCAAATTACGAACAGTTTACGCGATGATGATTTCTGATCTCTCACCAACGCATTTTTTAGATTTTCTGGTAATCGGATGAGATGTGACGTGTGGTATCGTCTGTGACTGACCCATGTACATTAGAAGTGCTGTAAACTGTGGGAAGAGTAGCTATCAGAGGCAATACAATTTAATTTTTTCCTTCAAAAGGAAGTGAAGAGTCATACAAAGTAAATAATTTCAAAATGAATCGTTTGTTCTAATCATTGAGCTACTTCGAGGGTATGCGTGGAAAAGATTCGGGATTGATTTCACCTGTTGGCTTAAGGGGAGGGGAGTTCATGCTCGAATTTACCGCCAGGCAGCGAAGTTGGATTATTTTTCAAAATCCCTTCTCTCCAATACAAAATCATGTTGAAAATCTCAGTCGAGCTGAAGTCCAAAATATCAGGGTTTTCGTGTGGCCTAGCAAATCTTAGATTCAATTGGTTTAGTGGGAAAAATGGTTCCCAAGTTTCAGTCTTTCAAGGAACTACAGCCAATTTTGCAAGGGGATTTATCAATATTTTTGGACTATCTTTTTTTGGCTATGGGCCCCAGACTTGTGTCAAAGTTGAACATTCCATCATTCAAAAATCCAAGACTTGGATATTTTTTGCTGAGCTGGAACAGTTGCAATAACCAATGAGCGGTTGCAGGCCTACCATGTGTCACACATCTCGGGATTGCCAATTGTCTATTATGCCTGTTGGTAAAGCGGAACAACATGCGGTGTCATGGAAGTACTGTAGCTTGTTCGTTGAGCTGAGTTGTCTCACCTTCGTTTAGCGCATGAGAAGTGGCTTCCGCGTAATGCTGAGAGAACCCGGTTCTTTGGCCTCAATGGGTCCGCAGAAGACATAGGAAGTTACCGTAACCTCATATTGATTTTTGTTTTCTACAGAATCGGAGTCGAGTGGGTCCGTGAGGTTGTGAATGGAGTTCTGCACATGTTACCTTTTCACGTCGACTAGTTTCTACGCGTATTTATGCTCGTTCTGGCGTTCAGTGCTCTGATCAGAAGTTACCAAGTTTCGCGCGTATTTGATTTGTTTCTTTGGAAGTAATACCGGTTTGCTATAATTCTTGGAATAGTGGTGATATGTTGAAAGAATTAGCTTTTGTGAAATGGTGTACAGCTGAACTTGAACCGGTGGAACGAACGTGTCAAGTATGTCATGGAACTCGAAAATTACCCGGTGAAGAAGGTAATCTGTGAATAGACGTTGAACAAGTTGCGATGTGTGTTGTAAAGCGATTTCTTTTTGCCGTCTTTGACGATTTAGTGCGGAAAGCGTTGATAGCGGTTACCAAAATTTTAAGTCTTCCAAGCAACCCTTTTCTGCGATGTACAATTTCGTCCTTCCTTTCTCCTTGAGGGAAACGCGAATGTTCAAATTTGAGAAAGGTTCTCTAACGTTTGCTACCGATAAACATGCCCGTCGAGTGTGTCGTTTTTGTCGAGATTTGTATTCAAAAAGATGTCGCCCTACAATTATTTTGCCGTATTTTTGCAGCGGGGGCGATTAAAATAAGTCATACCGATAAATTGACTTTTTTAATTCCTAACCTTGGTAGAGCACGACTTCAACACTTCCTGGAAAAATCAACTCTGCTGATGATCCTTCAACCAGAACAACTGAACAAGAACAATGGGAACACGTATTGCAACCAGTAATTCGCCGCATTCGAGAGGACAACCCCGGCAAAGTAAGATTCCCGTGGGAAACGCGGAATACGGCAAGTCTGAATAGTTGGGTAAAGAGGAAGCTGATCAGATCAAGGTAACAGTCGAGAACCCTTTCAACACCCACGTTCAAATAACACCATCATCATAAAGCACGAGATTGTTCTCGCAACGAATAAGGCCATGGATGAATTCATGATGCGCACTTCTCTAGAAAAATAAGGGTGCACGTATTGGTCTTGACAGCAAAAAATCACAGAACATTGAGGATGATTCATCAAACTTTCCGCGGCTTTACAACTCCTCCTTCTCAAAATCGTAAGGATCTTCTTCAGCATGAAATTCGCAAAATCCAGCTTCCTTCATGCACAGGTCTGATTCTTCATCTCTGGACTCGCTCTTGTGTCCAAAGATCTTCATGATTGGGTCCTCAAATTCCTCAACGATTGTCTCACACTAAACAAGTTCAAGAAAATGAGTCCGTAGATTGTTCGACGCTTGATAAGATTTGAGAACTGTACCTTACGTATTAAATAACCGCTACACTTCCACAGGAAGCTGCGCTCGAAAACGAGAACAAGCTCTGGAGAATTTTAAAATACTGTACAGACGTACATGATCATTTACTGTGTAGAGACAATCTTCCAACTATTATAACTATAATATTGATCTTCACTGACTTAGATGGGGTGAAGTAGGTTCTCCTCACGACATAGTCTTCATTTGATGAAAGTTTCTTACGTCGTTCTCAGCCTACACTCAAACGCTGATCATTTAGATGAAATAACTGCTTTCCAACACTCAATCGGAAAGATCAACGAAAAAAAAAAATAGTTTCAAGGATAAATCTTCACTTACGTAAAATTTCAAGCCCTTATTGAGATCATCCTTCAGTTTTGGTTCCACACGAGAAAAATCGGGATTCATTTGTCCATTGATCATGATTTTAACCACCGCCCGTTCACCAGTATCCTTATAGTGTCCTTCAACGTAATCGTCGAATGATCCGCATACAGTTTCCAGAAGGTCCATTAGATGCACATTTGACCTTGCGTAGGGCAGCTGTTGATTTTACACTTTGAAACATAGCAGAATAGTTTGAGTTGAGTGTTGTTGCATATACACACCACATTACGTTTTATGTCCCCATCTGGGCTCAGACGTCCAGTTCCAACGTTAATTTTCTTTTTTGGATCCACCTTCGCTATTTCGCTGTTAAGTTCTTGCACAAGACTCCGACATACTAAGCGAGAAAAATATGAAATATGCCGTTGCATATCACTCATACGAAAAAAACGCACATAACTTGGACTCGCATACTTACCCAAACACTTCAGTTCGTCGTCAGCATAACTGAACTGAATTACCATGAGGAAAAAAGCAATCACAGGAAGCGTTATCACGACCATATTTAAATATTAGCGAGGAGCACACCTGAAATCCAGAAAAATTAATGACCACAATCAAATATCTGAATCTGACAATCCGAAATGTGCAAGTTTTCGGTCCACGTGTAGAATGATCATCACAGCAACTCCTACCCGTTAAGACCGTGAGTGGACTTCTCGCCAGAGCTACCTCCAGATGACAGCCGACGAGATGATCGCCGCCAAAACGCTGATTCAGCATGTGCTGAAGGAGCAACTCTACAACATCGCCAAGCCCGGACTCAAGGACGAGATCCAACGGAAATGGACGCGCAACGCCTGCTGACGTGGGACGAGCTCGTGGACATTGCGGAGGCCTATCGTATCAACCATCGAACCACTGCCACCGGTTCGTCATCCGCCAAGTCCGGCTCGAGGCAACGAGTGGACCCGAAGGACCTGCCCCCGCAACAATGGTGCGACCATCACAAAAGAATGGCGCGCCATAGTTTGCAGGATTGCCGACTAGGCTTACGACAAGGAGGTCAGACCAGTTCTTCTTCTTCATCCAATGCAGCTGGGAGGACCGGATCCAGTTCAAATTTTTCGACAAGTTCGCGAAATTCGAGTGTTGATGACGCAAACGTAACTTGTTTCCATTGTCACCAAACCGGTCATAGACTTTGCGCATGCCCACAGTTGTTGGGAAACGCAATCTCGTCTCAGTGAATGCGGCGCACTGTTTTATGACGAGTTTACCCGCCGCCCCTCCCCTGATTTTACTCCAGATCTCACTTAAAGGGTTTGATTTTTCCGCGCTCCTAGATACGGGCGCATCCCATTCTTTTGTTGCCGAATCGCTGGTGACCCAGCTTACCTTGCCATCTAAACCATTATTCACCTGATTTTACTCCAGATCTCACTTAAAGGGTTTGATTTTTCCGCGCTCCTAGATACAGGCGCATCCCATTCTTTTGTTGCCGAATCGCTGGTGACCCAGCTTACCTTGCCATCTAAACCATTATTCACCACCGTTAATACCGCGCTCGGTCCAAACGCTGTGCAGGTCTCGCGTATCGTGGAGGCCCCCTTTGTTTTTCAGGGCACCACCCATCACGGCGCGTTCTTGGTGTTGCCCGGGATGCGTGAATTTCCCATGATTGTGGGTCGAAATATTCTGTTGCAGCTACCTCTCACGATTACTCTTAACGGGAAGCGAATTTTTACGGGTTTTCACGAGGTGACCCGGGCACCTTCCGTTCCAACCCTCTTGGTGGGGGAAGGCATTGCTTTCGTGTAAATATTCTGTTGCAGCTACCTCTCGCGATTACTCTTAACGGGAAGCGAATTTTTACGGGTTTTCACGAGGTGACCCGGGCACCTTCTGTTCCAACCCTCTTGGTGGGGGAAGGCATTGCTTTTGTGGACGGGCTCCCCGCGGAACGGGCGCAAATTTTGCATATTCTCCAACAACATGCCCCGCTTTTCCGACAATGGTTGGGCAGGCAAGGACAGTTTGCAGATTACGTCGTCCGTATTCCGACAGTCAAAGCCTCGCCACCAGCAACGCGCCAATAACGACACTCGATTGAGCGAAATGTACCTTTTTCGGAGATCATTGATTCTTATCTTGCAGCAGGCATTCTTGAACCAGCCCCCTCCCCCTATAATGCGCCCGCCTTTCTCGTTGACAAGAAGTGCAAAGATCCAACCGCACCGGCAGAGAAGCGATTCCGGTTGGTTGAGAACTACACCGAACTAAATAAGCTGATCATCCCCGACCACTACCCAATGCCAACAGTCCAGGAGCTTTTGGACGCATTAGGGAGGAATAATCGGTTCTTCTGCACGCTTGATCTGCATGCCGGGTATCACCATCTTCCCATTGCGCAGGAGGATCGCCCGAAAACAGCCTTTATGTCCCCGCGGGGACAGGTTCAGTACAAGGTATTACCGTTCTGTCTGAAAACAGGACCGGCCCTGTTCCAGCGGACCATTAATACTATCTTACGCCCTTTCTTATTTAAGCGTTGCCTGGCATATGTTGATGATGTCATCGTTTTTGGGGAAACTTTTGATGTGTTGTGCGATAACCTGCAAGTTGTGTTACAGACTTTACAGGAAGCTGGAGCGTGCATGGACATAGTCAAATCCACTTTCCTCGCGCACTTGTTGATGATGTCATCGTTTTTGGGGAAACTTTTGATGTGTTGTGCGATAACCTGCAAGTTGTGTTACAGACTTTACAGGAAGCTGGAGCGTGCGTGGACATAGTCAAATCCACTTTCCTCGCGCACAAAACCCTCTTTCTTGGATATGAAGTTGACCAAACTGGCAGTTGACCGGCAGAACGGAACGTGGACGCAGTCCGTAAGTATCCGCAACCAGAAACTCGCCGTCAGATGCAACAATTCTTGGGTATGGCGACATATCTCAGGGCCCATCTGCCAACAAACTTCGCGGATGCCGAAAAGGCCCTACGGCGGATTATTCCACCCAAACCCGCCACACGTTTAACCTGGTCGTCTGAAGCCCTACAAGCATTCCAGCACATCAAGAACATGCTAGCTGATAAAGCCCGCCTGGAGCGGGTTGACCCAACTTGGCCCATTGCCGTGCACTGCGACGCCTCGGCAATCTCACTGGGCGCGGTGCTTGTACAAACGGACCCGGAAGGCAATGAGCGGGTAATCAAATATGCAAGCTGCACCCTCAAAGATGCGGAAACGCGGTATTCCAACACGGAGCGCAAAATGCTTGCCATCGTTTGGAGCGTGACCAAAAAATTTTGCCATCATCTTGTCTACCAAAAATTTACTATCTTCACAGATCACAAGGCGCTGCTGGGGAAACTGCAATCGGAGCGTTTAATAAATCTACAATCTAAGCTGGTGTTTGGAGCGTGACCAAAAAATTTTGCCATCATCTTGTCTACCGAAAATTTACTATCTTCACAGATCACAAGGCGCTGCTGGGGAAACTGCAATCGGAGCGTTTAATAAATCTACAATCTAAGCTGGTGACGTTTGATTTCAAGATCGTTCACAGGCCCGGATGCTCTCTGCAAGCCCCCGATGCACTGAGCAGAATCTTGTTGAATAATGCCGCCGCCCGCATGGAACCCAACAAACCGGAACGGCTAAACATCATCGACACCTACCAACAGGAGCTCAGGCATGCGGGGTGGAAGAAGGTGTACTGAACACTCTGTGAACGCTTTTTCTGGTCCAAGATGCGACAGGATGTGTGGAAACGCATTCTGGCCTGCAATTTGTGTTTTTGCTACAACCAACCCACACAAACGGTTGGGGCTCACATGAGCGTGGTGGAATCTAACAGGCCGCGCGAACGCCTTGTCCTGGATTTTTATGGCCCCTTGCCAAAAACTAAGGAAAATTCCCGGTATGCCATTGTCGCAGTTGATCATTTTAGTAAGTACATGATTGCCCAACCCATTGAAACCGCCGACACTAAAACAGTTGTCCCCTTTCTAGCCAAAATCTTTTGTCAAGTGGGGTTATTTGAAATTGTACACTCTGATTGTGATTCCGTGTTTTCAGGCAATGCTTTTAAACATTTTCTTAAAGCCTATGGCATCCAACAGCATCTAGCCCAGGCAACGCATCCGGAAGGCAATGGCTGTTGTGAGAGATCAATCAAGACCCTGTCGCACATCCAGGCAAAAGCGGTGAAGGGGGATGACGCAACATGGGCCCAACACCTGCCGGCCTCTGTCCGCTCTTACAACAGCACCATCCATTTGGCGACCGGGGTAACCCCAACTGAGGCCATGTTTGGGACACGCACAATTTTGGAAGCAGACCACAAGTTTGGCGCAGTACCAGAGGCTCTGAACGTGTCCCCTGAAGAACTTCAGGAGAGAACCGAATTACATCATCAAAAATTTTTGCAGCAAGCGAACAAACGAAAGCTGGGGCATTTTTCCCCAGGCAATGTGGTAGCCGTGTTTCCTTGGTTGCCGACGACTCAAACTCACGCTGCTAATCGTCGTTTTCTCACTCATAAAATAGGGCCGTTTATTGTTCTATCCTACCAGGGACAAGGCAAGTATCATGTTGGCGCGGGTCCCGATATCCGGAGGGCCAACGCTTGGGAAATGGTGCGCTACAGAGGTCTTCCACGGGCGCCGAATCCAGGGTTCGAGAAGCAGATGGGGCTGATTCATCAGGCCTCAGGAAAGGACAGCATTGTACCAACCAACGATCATTCATATGCTCAGAGGGCGTCGGAGGCACCTTTGGAACAGGAAAGGACGACGGCATTGGACCACCCATATGGGCACCCGCCCTTCATCAGGCCTCAGGAAAGGACAGCATTGTACCAACCAACGATCATTCATATGCTCAGAGGGCATCGGAGGCACCTTCGGAACAGGAAAGGACAACGGCATTGGACCACCCATATGGGCACCCACCCCACCAGCAGACAACGGGGGGTTCAGGGCAACAGAAGAATCCAAAACGCTCCTTTTATTTGAAACGCAAAGGCAAGGTCCGAAAACCGCGAATTTTTGAGGGGGGGGAGAGTAAGGACCCCTGCTTACATGCAGAGGCAACATCTGGTGGTAACCCGCTGAACCCACGAACGCGCGTCAATCCGCCCACTTGCAAACCACTTATCAGGGGAGAGATCTGGGGAGATATCGGGAGGAGCTGGCAAGCCGGGAACTCGGTCGGCACTTTGTTATGAGCTTGTGACGTGAAACTATCTCTGGACTTTTATATTGTGACCCAGTTGTTCTGGAGTACTGAAGTTATTAAATGACGTGTCACGGAGTGTGGGTCTAGGTGTCTCTCTTCAGTCAAAACCTTATTGGGGGCTCTGAGCCTACAATAGTTTTAGCCTGACCCTACACAACACGCCGGTACTCTTACGATGCCGCGAACGATGGAGAATTTGAAGGCCGCAGCCGCGTCCGCTCTCTGCGAGCTTGCATCCAAGCTCGCACCCATTTCTGAGGACGACGAGGAATTCGTCGGCACCAAACTGCAACTGACAGAACCGGCAACACACTCCCGAGCTTCGGGGACGACGATGTCCAGCATCTGGGAGAACCTGCCGCTGTCCACGCTTCAGATGCTCGCCGATGCCTTTCATCTCGGGCATCCACCCACTGCAGATAAGTCCAAGTACGCCGCCCAACTTGAGCGGTTCCAGATCCCTGTTACCGCTATCCAAACTCTTTCAAGGGGCAACGACCGCTGCATGGTGCCACGACAACCGCATCCTGACGACGACGACAACTACGGCGGAGGAACGTTCCTCTCCACTCGTAAGCCACAGTGGCTGACCAATCTACAAACGCCACAGTTACCGAAGCAGAGGGGCGACGAAGACTTCAAGGATTACGTGCTGCGCATGCGGAATACCATGGCTGTGGGGAAGGTTTCAGAGGAGAACCGCATCAATTGCCTCCTCAACAACACCTTGACACAGATACAGCTAACCGCAAACCAAATCTACCAGCGCGGAGTGAAGACGTTTGAGCACCTGGTCCAGGCAATTGCTAGACGACATCCAATGCCGCATCTCGATTGACTGAAGCGGTTCCGGTCAATGAAACCGTCCAATGGCGAATGTTTCTTCAACTTTGGGGAGCGCCTGCGGGACGAATACGAAGCCTACCTCCAGATGACAGCCAACGAGATGATCGCCGCCAAAATGCTGATTCAGCATGTGCTGAAGGAGCAACTCTCCAACATCGCCAAGCCCGGACTCAAGGACGAGATCTGACGGAAATGGACGCGCAACTGCCTGCTGACATGGGACGAGCTCGTGGACATTGCGGAGGCCTATTGTATCAACCATCGAACCACTGCCACCGGTTCGTCATCCGCCAAGTCCGGCTCGAGGCAACAAGTGGACCCGAAGGACCTGCCCCTGCGACAATGGTGCGACCATCACAAAAGAATGGCACGCCATAGTTTGCAGGATTGCCGACTAGGCTTACGACAAGGAGGTCAGACCAGTTCTTCTTCTTCATCCAATGCAGCTGGGAGGACCGGATCCAGTTCAAATTTTTCGACGAGTTCGCGAAATTCGTGTGTTGATGACGCAAACGTAACTTGTTTCCATTGTCACCAAACCAGTCATAGACTTTGCGCATGCCCACAGTTGTTGGGAAACGCGATCTCGTCTCAGTGAATGCGGCGCACTGTTTTATGACGAGTTTACCCACCGCCCCTCCCCCGATTTTACTCCAGATCTCACTTAAAGGGTTTGATTTTTCCGCGCTCCTAGATACGGGCGCATCCCATTCTTTTGTTGCCGAATCGCTGGTGACCCAGCTTACCTTGCCATCTAAACCATTATTCACCNAGGAAAGGACAGCATTGTACCAACCAACGATCATTCATATGCTCAGAGGGCGTCGGAGGCACCTTTGGAACAGGAAAGGACGACGGCATTGGACCACCCATATG